TGCTCTTTCAAAGCATGAATGGGGAGGGGTCCTCGAAATCCTTAGGCTAATGGCACATACTAGAACTTAAGTGAAACCCCTTTTAAAAAACAAAACAGTTTTGACCTCACAGACTCCCTAAAAAGGTCTCAGGACCTCTGGGGAGTCCACTGACCACATTTGGCAACCCCTTTTCTAGAGATTGTATGCATTTTATGTTTTTAAATGCACACTTACATTATGGCTTTTATATTTAAAATCCAAAAAAACTTAGAGAGTTAAAGCTGTTATTCTGATTATTTATTTAAAAAATGTTGGTGCTGTACGCTGGCACAGTTCTGGGTACTGGGGATATACCCATGAACAAAATAGATGGAAGTCTGCCCTCATGGGATGTACGTTGTGTCTTTTGATTTTTGTTTATATCTTGGAACATGATTTCTCACTGGAAGTATAGAGTATACCTTGTCCTCTTTGTTCTCTTATTTGGCTCTGAAACAGACTTTAAAAATGTTTTTAGTTATTTTTCATTCGCTTTATGTTTCTTGTTCGTAATGTAATGAATGGATGGAATGTTTTATCGCCTCTTAAATTCAGCTAACTTTAAGTTGCTTTTTACCTATTGACTCCTTGTTTGATCAGTGACCACAAATGCTTTTTGGAGTTAAGCAAAAGAGTGGGTGAAACTTACTAGGACAAGTCCTTGTTGATTGTGATTGACCTTTATATACCTGAAAAATAGGTGACCAATCTCTCAACTTCTAGAAATTTCTAGGAAGGAGGAAGTGTGAAAAACAACCACACTCCCTTTTATCCCTTGTCATTGTTGCCTTAGTCCCACCAGTACAGCAAATTTACCAGCATAATCTCCTGTGAATTATGAGACAGCAGTATTAGAAATAATACTATGGGAAAGACTAGAAATTCTTGGGTATGGAGATAAACAGTGTTGCTAAAGGTCAGGAGAGCATAGCTAAAAGTAGTGAAAATGAGTTGTTTTTTAAGAAATCCCAGAGGGCCTAAAACATTTTCAGAGAAAATGCTTATAAGCCTTTAATTTCACCCACATACACACATTGAAAGTCAGAATGTTGCTTTAGAAACATTAAAGATTAATGAAATAATTTGTTTTAAATTTGTTTTTTCTCTTTATACTTGATAATTGAGATGTTAGTATATATGTTTTTTTATCTTATCTCTACGACCCAACTGCCATTCAGTGGGATTATAATGTGCAGTGAGTATTTACTTTTAGGAGTCTATTTATAATAGCAAATATGAGGTGAAATGTAGGATGCATTATTGATTAATTATCTATGAAAGTATTAGTTGTCATAATCAGCTTAGCTTTAAGTGGCTGCTAGGTAAGTTAAATTCAGAACTTGGTTGTTGTTTCCCCCCCCCACTCTATTTGGTTGGAATAATTAGCCTTTCCCCACCACTGAATAATAAAAGAACGCTGTATAATTGGTCAGATTTTATCAGATCTCTGTACTTTTTAAAGAATAGTATGAAAAAGCTGTATAACAGTGCACTTGCAACCCTACCACTTTAATGCTTCTAAGTATATATTTTTAAAAGAAATTATTGTTGGTAGTTCAAAAGCCACTCTGTTTTAAATGGAAACACACACATAGTTGACATTCAAAAGTCTGGGTTCATTTGTAGCCATAGCAGAGAAAGTCGTGATTAGGTACCATCCACAATTCAGGAAAGTGTGTATGTCTGTGTGTCCACTCCATGTGTGTAGCCACCCCTGAGGTACGCCAGCAACTTCCCAAGCTGCAGTCCCCTGTGAGCACATCCTCAGTGTCTCCAGACACCTGAGATGCATGTTCGTCGCTCATTGGTTCCCCGCAAGGGAACTTCATCCTGGATGGTGCCCAGTTGATTCTTAGGCACAAAAACTTGTTCTCCAAATCACTTCATCTATAGCTCTATAACCCATGTTTTGGGCAGGAATGTCTAATAATGTTTCCTATGATAATTTAAAACAACTAAGAAGATAGGGCTCAGCTTCCTTCATTAGTTTTGTAAACCAGTTTCTTACAGTGAACACAAAAGGGATTAGAATAATATGTCAAGTTTGATTTGTAATCTAGGATTTTAAATTCATTTAATAAAATGTCAGCATTTTAAAACTATTTAACATAATGTTATGGGTTAAGCCATACATGTTTAAAGATGAGTTTAACAACCTGTATTAAAAGTATTCAGACCTTAATATCTTAGAACTTGATTGAGCTCAGTTATGACTCTTTTTTATTAGGATTAGTACTATTAGGTTTCCTGTTGGTCACCTTGTGAAAACCTGAAATATACCCAGAAAGTCCTTAATTCCAAAGTTCCTTGATGCTAGTTCAAGTTAGTGGCTGAGAATTCTGTAAGAGACTAGCGGTGTTGAACCAGAACTTGCAGCTGATGGGCTGCAGCACAGGGGCCAGCTTCCAAGGGTCCAAGACAGGGATCTCATCCGCAGGCCACCGGAGCTGCTGGCTGGCGGGTAGCAGCCTTGTTGTTTTACTCTGGGTGTACTATACCGTATTTTCTATCAGTGCCATGATGGGAAAATACATAGATATTTTCAGTAATCTTGGGAAATGTGGTTTAGCAAATTTCAACCTCAGTGTCTTTTAAGACCGGAATTTTCCAAACGCCTTATGATAGAAACTGGCAGTAAGATTTATTGGGTGAGCTTTGGGCATTGGCTCTGTGCTGTGGGTTTTACTAAAATGATTGTGGTCTGTGTTAGGATTTTGAAGCTTAAATCCTTGGCCTTGCAAAGGAATATGTTTGCAAGGGAAGGACTAACCCCCCTCCTCTTTTTAAACCATACTAAAGAGCTATTTGGATTTTTTTTATATATATATATATTTTTGTAGGGCGTCATCAATCCTGGAAATACTGAGTCAAAATAAAATTGCATGGGCATTGTTTGTGGGGGAATCACTGGATACAGAGATAATTTACATGGTTTTCCTTTGCCTCTTGAGGTTATAATAATATCCCTCAGGGTTTAGAGGACAGAGAACCTTGCTCTGCTTTCTCACTTGCCCCCACTTCCTCCCACTCTCCAGGGACTTATAGCAGACCAAAAGGTTGAGTTGTTTTGTTTGTTTGTTTTTCAAATACAGTTTCAGGCCATGGAGAAATTCCCAACTGATAGGCCAAGATGACTGATGAATGTGGAGCATATGCTTGATAACAGGTGGAGTGAGGACTGGGCGTAATATTTGTTTAATATTGTATCTGAAGTGAGGAAGGAAGAGACATAGAACATGACCTATTATTTCATGAGGAGGTGAACTTATCTGTGTTAGTGGGACAGAGGCAAACTTGGATGAATTTTCATCTAGCCACTGTCTTTTCTTATAAAACACAGATGAAGAGTTAGTGCAGTTTCACTCCATGGTATTTTTGATGAGCTGTGAAGTAAGCAAATAATAGTACGAGAGAGAGGTATTTCTTTTTTCTGTCTTTTTTTTTCATTTTTAATTTCTTTATTGATTAAGGTATTACATATTTGTCCTTATCCCCCCATTACGCCCCCCCCATGCCCTCACCCCCCTATTGTCTGTGTCCATTGGTTAGGTTTATATGCGGAGAGATGTATTTCTCCTTTAGGAACTAGTTAACTTGAACTTGTGCTGGCGTACAATCGACTTATAATTATTTGGCCTTAGAAATAGCTTTCCTCGAGTTTGTTGATAAAAACAACAAACACTTTTGTGAAGTACCCTCTGGATTGAGTGAAGCTTTAGTATAATTTATGGCCATTCTTTTTATACCACAGCTCAGAAAGTCTTCATTTAAAGGTAAGAAAATGGAGACATGGCTTACCTAAATTTTCTGTTAATAAAGTGGAAGAAGAATGCACGTTCTATTAATTCTCAGTGTTAGAGGTTCCAGGTTGCTGGTTTTAGTATTGAGTCCTGTCCGTGTATGTGCCATTACTCAGTGAGCGATGGAGGAGCATTAAGAAAAGATTGTCTTCTCTGTATCCCACGGAACAACTAGGAGAGAGCTGTGCTAATAAGGGGCTTGGTAATTATTGAATGAGTACTGAGCTATCAAATAATTGTTTCTGGTATTTTAAAGGAGTTTTCAGAAGATAATTGGGATTGATATAAATATATATTAGCATAGTATGTACACTCATCAGTTGGGAATGGGGGGTATATGGAAGAGAGGGAAACTATATTCAGTTCTGTTTTATAGTCAGCCAATATAGGCCCTTGGTTTTATTTTTACATGAAACTGAGCCTTTAACATTTTGAGCTCACACATCAAATGCCTTTGGATAGAAGATTAGGAATTTCACATAAGCAGCTTACATTTGACTAGTATGTTGGAGAATATGATTATACACTTGCTTTTTTTTTTGTCCAAGGCACTATTTTTGTATTTATATTGCTGTCTGAAGGTCTACTTTTGTTAACAGGGTCTACTAGAAATATAATGTTTTAAAATAGCAGTGCTTTTCATTTCCCCAGCATGTAGATCTGGAGGCCAGCATCCAGCAAAAACAGCAGTTGGGTTTGGATAAGTGATGACATTTGGCCTATGTGTATTTCTGCTGATCGCCCTAGGTCAGAACACCCCCTAGAGCTGGCCTAGTCTGGAATAGGCCACATTATTAACTATGAATTTGTCACTGAGTATTGTAAAGGAACAGGAGGGGCGGGCTGTATGGGTGCAGTGGGCAATGGGGTGGCTTGTGGAGGAGGTGTGTTGTTAGGGAGTAATTTTAAACTTCTTTTCAGTCCCTATCAGTGAGTTTCAGCAAAGATTTGATAAAGAATTTTGTTGCTACTATATTATCATAATCATGGTTTTAAAGGTATATAAATAAATTTTTTTTGCCAAATGCTCTATTTACATTTTTAAAAGAAAAAAAGTGTGTTTTTGTTATCTAAGTTTGATTACATAACAAACTCAGGTATGATTCTTATGGGTTTTCTATGTTTTATGAAAATATGCTGTATATGACTAACTTGCTTTTCTTTTTCATTTCCACACAGGAAAGAGAAAAATATTGTTCAGATAACTGATGTAACCATTATTAACTAGCGTTTGACTGAGGATTACTGTGGAAAGTTTTACTGTTTGCTAGATTTCTAACTTAAAATGCCTGTAATCTTTTATAGGAATTTCAACTTTTGCGATTTGGTAATAACAAATCTAACAGGTAAGTAAAAAGAATGAGAATCTCGTACAATTTGAAGATCTAAGCTTGGTTGAGAATTTAATATTTTGTAACCAGAAAGCCTGTTGATTTATTTAAAGCTGAAGACAATAATGGAACTGCCCAGTCCTGTTGAGAACTGAGTGAATCTTTAAGGCAGCATTTCTGATGTTTCTTTGGTAGTTGCTGTTGGTGTCAGAATTTAGGAACAAACCTAATGGCCTTTGTCAAGTCCTCTGTCATCTCACAGAGGACTGTGTTAAAGAGACAAAGACTTACTGAAGTTTCTCCCTCCCACTGAGTGGGCAGTGCTGCATTGTGGTCAGTGAGAGTCAGACCAAAAATCTATACATAGGCTTTCAGCAGCAGCCTTAACACTTTCTTTGACTTTTTTCCCCCCAGAACTTAAAAAATTTATAGTTGCCTAAATAACATGCTCAGAATTAGCAGGTAGAAATTATATCATGAGTTTCCTTTCTGCTGACATATAGAGCTGGGGCATTGTGGACTTTGGGTAATAAAAGACTCGTAAATTTTTTTTTTTTTATTCACTGATAGTAAGAAATGTACTTTACATCACATATACTTGAAATACATAGGTATGTGTGTGTAAAATAAAAGTTTCACAATAAAGGGATGCACTGTTTTCTAATCTGCTCTGTTGTAGTCTATCCTTTTTCATTCAAAGATAAATGAAAAGATCACGACCCAAGAAATTGATTTCAAGACACACACACATCTGCAGCTTTTCCTTTTCAGGTAGCGGTCCTCACAAAACATGCCTCGTCTCTCATACACGGACCTCTTTGAATATTTTAAGATGTGTACAAAAACTGGAATGTAAAATCTCTAAACATGCTGTAGTTCAGTTCCTTGCCTTTCTCAGTTGCATGAGATGCGCTGTGCACTGGAATTGGTTACCGCCCTATGTCTTTGGCCTGACAGGCTGAGAGTTCCAGGCATCATTGGACCCAGTCAAGAGGGGTCAAGATGGAAAGAAATGCAATGAGCAAACTGTACTTGGGCTCTCTTTTCTGTACCTCACTGACCTGGGCGCTGGCCATAAAGTAGTTCTGCCAGGTGTCTCTGGTGTTTGGTTTTCTCTTACTAGTCCCTATAGAACAATTCTGGCTTGACTCTTAAATCCCAGCCTGTTCTCCAGGTATGAAGTATAGACTGAGTTGGACAGCACGGGAAGATGTGTGTTCATACGTGCAAATAAGGATTTGGTTGTATATTTGTACCAATTTTAAGAATGATAGTGGGCAAGCTCAGACCCTTTTTCTGCCTCACTTCAGGACTGAAGGAGGCAAACGTAAGTTTTAAGTTGAATCCCTTTTTGTGGGTGTTTGGAAATGCTGTAGTAATTTCTCCATTCCAATATATTGAGAACTATAGTTTGGAAAATACTGAAGTCTGTTCCCTATAAGTAGTTAGTCTTTTAATAGTCTTGGATTAAGTGTCCAGTTAGGTAGAAAGTGAGTAAAAAACAACAACAACACACTTCAGTCTTAAAGCTAACTTACATGATCAGAACTCCCCCAGATTGTACTCTACTTGTATTTAATGTTCACCAGCGGCCCCACACAGCCTCTCCACAGAGATTCTGGCCTTTAGGCCCAGTATCCTCCCACCTTTGGTACAGACACAAAGTGAAGGGCCTCCATCCCCCTTTGACCATCAGAGATGTTGAGCCCTAGCTAGTTTGGCTCAGTGGATAGAGCGTCGGCCTGGAGACTGAAGGGTCTTGGGTTTGATTCTGGTCAAGGGCACATGCCCGGGGGGTGTGCAGTAGGCACCCAATAAATGATTCTCTCTCATCATTGATGTTTCTATCTCCCTCTCCCTTCCTCTCTGAAATATATTTTTAAAAAATAAGAGATGTTGAGAAGAGCAAAAGGGTCAGGCTTGCAGTTTCAAGCTCTATAAAAGTGACTCCTGTTCAGGTAAAAATGGTAGTGGTTCTTTTTCTTTTAAGCATCCTAGGTCTTTGAAAACTCGATAAAACTGTATTGTCTTCCCAGACAAGTAGACATGCATACAATCTCTGCTTTAAGACGCCCAAGAGGCTGTAAGAACTTCTTAATGCACATTTGTTGAATTAACCCTCAGATTCTCCTGGACTGGTGATGGCTTGTGAGGGTTGTTACAGGAACAACACAGATATCATCAGTTTCTTTTAACCTGATGTTGTCATTACATGTTCCTGTTAATCACGGGTCGGCATTTTCTTTCATTTGCTCAGAACATGGCTAAATTGTTACCTGCTATCGGTGGTCCAGAAAGGACAGCTATCCCAGTGAAGAAACTGGAAAGTCCCATAAACCTGTGTACTGCAGAATTCCCAGACAGGTCAACCTGTAGGGATTAGAATTCACTGTTAGCCAGATAGCGGGTGAGCTTCTGTGGAGACCTGTGCCTACGAGGGGACAAATACTGTTTGTCATCTCAAACTGAACCGTTGACTGCTGGGGTGATTTGGGTGGCCTTGTGCTCCGAATTGTGAAAGAGGTGAGGCAAATAGGGACCAGAAGTTTTTCGAGGCAGGCAGTGTTTCCCCTTTATGAGTAAGGGACATTGGTTTTTGTTTCTTAAGTCTTTTTGGTGGTTCAGGGTTACGTTTTTCCCTGAACCTCGCTGCTCTTCTCTGTTAGGAAATAATATTTACAATCTAGCTGACAGTGGGATTCTTGAATCCACCCGAGGCTGAGCATTGGTTTGTAAGCAATCAGACATTATGAGGAGTTGACTCAGCTTTAGAAAGTTTGGCTTTTGCCTAAGCCTCGTGTATTTCCTGCAGCACTTGGGCTAACATGGCCGTGAGGCCAGAACTCGCCCAGGGATTGTGTTCCGGCACATGGGGACTTGGTGCTAAGGAGAACCCAGAAGTTTGTATGTCAGTTCCACTTGGGTCCAGGACTTGAAGTCGATTGGGGGTAAAAATGGAGAAGAGTTTTTTTAAGTGCCCCTGTTGAAATACAGAGCTTCTCTCAGTAAGAGAGAAGTCACACTGGTCAGGAAGGCCTTTTTCTCTCAGGAGCTCTTCAGGGTTGTGTCTTAGAGGGAGCCAAAGAAGTTTCCAGAACTGAAGGGAAGAAGTGAACAGAAGCCTGACCTGGGAAACTGATCAGCAAAATGGAATCCTGCTGGTCCCTTACTGGTTTCCATTTCTTTCCTGTTCCCTGTGGACAGTCCTCCCATCATTCCAACCCCCGAGGTAAGATGAGTAACTGGATTAGGATATAGCTACAGGGTTTCTGAGGCCTTGGCTGTGATATTTTGTAATCATAAAATTAATACAAAATATGTGTTCTCTTTGGGCAACATTATTCTTCATCCTTGCTTTTACTAAATGGTTTAACAATGTTAATGAGTGTGTCTACTCACCAGAACAGGAAGTATCAATGCCAGGTAACCACCAGAGAAAATGGCAAAGAGGACGGTATAGGTCATCAGTAGTGGGAAGGTGGTGGCTAACGGAGCAAGCAGGTTAGTGATGCCGCAGAGTGCGAGGTAAGACTTGTGGTAATGGTACTTGCTGGTCCAGTTTTGATCAGCAATCCATCCAGAGAGAAGCTGACTGACTGCCTCAGTGATACCTAGAAGAAGTTTGAAAGGTTTTATGAAATCCTAATTCCATTTTTCCCAGTCCCTTTGAAGAATGTAAATGCCTAAGGCATCTTTTCCTAAGTAATAAGACTTCATCCTTAGGCTAGGACACACGAGAAAAAAACAACAACGGTTTCATTTGCCTATCAGTAGATTATATCATTTACTTACTAGTAAGTACTCCAGACACATCTAATAAATTACCAGAAAGTTCATACCACTGAGCTGGGAGTCCCTGGTTACAGAGGACCCCGGGCTCAGGGAGCCTTCCTCAAAAAGGAAGTGTGCGTTTGTAAAGACTAGTGGGCCTCCGGTTTGTGTCCTGGGGAAGTCAGAGGGTGGATGATGAGTATAAATAATAAAGCCTTATGTTTACAAAAAGAAAAAGGAGGTGTTGGGACTCTTTTATAATTGCATGTGAGGATTTGAAAATTAAGTCCTTCTCCAGAGGTTGTTATGCTTAACTTGGAAAATATGTAGGAAGTCTGGAAATGGGAGATCATATTTTGAACATGACCTATGATGTAACTTGAACAAAATGTAAGAACCACAATTTCGCTTAATTTCATAACAGAAATTCTTAACCTTTATCCTGTTAGAAGCTAATGTAGTGGTTAAATACCAAGAGATTTTCCCCAACAGTAGCATGAGCTGTGGTGGTTTTATGCTTCAAATCCTTCCTACAGTTCAAACATAAATTGCTCCACACACACACATTAAAAAGAAATAAAAATACAGAATACTACCATTTCTGTATTTTTACAGTTATTTCCTAGGACACATACTGAGTTTGTTACGTTCTTTTGTTCCATTATATAGCCCTAATCTCATCTACATTGATACTACTAGACACTTTAGTGAGAACGTCTGTTGAGCTATGTATCTTTTGTGTGTGTGTACATACATTTTATTTGGTTGAGAGTACCTTTGCAGTTGGAGGCGGAGTGCAGTCAGTTTTGTAAGGCTTGGTGAATAGTCTTGCAGAGGAAAGTCACTGTGAGCTACCGAGACTTTCCAGATAACTGGAGATAACCGGTTCCATTTCATCCCTTCTCAGTTTTTAAAAACTATCAGTCAATCCATTAGTGACTAGCCTCAACAGGCATATATATGTCTTACTATGAGTTCAAGTGGAAAATGCTTAGCTACAAATATTAGTAGAACATGACTGCATGCTTACAATGGGCCAAGCACCATCCTAAACCTCTCATACATGACTTGTTTAATCCTCATAACCGTATCAGGGTAGGTAGGTACTATTATCCCTATATTACAGATGAGGACATTGAGGCACAGAGAAAGCACATAACCTGCCCAAGGTCATACAGCTCGGAAATACAGAGCAAAAACTTGACCCCGGGAAGTCTAGCTCCAGAATGAAACCTTTCAACCAGTGCACGATGCTGTCTGCCTGGAATTTCTTTTGCTCCTCGAGTGGTGGTTGCCACTCGCCACTCAGCACCAGCTTTTAAAAATACTGTATTTTCCAACAAATACCTAATGTCTACTGTGTCAGACACCTACGAAAAACTAACAAGACTTTCTGTTTGCTCGTTTGAGTGTGAGGTTGCAGTAGGGTTTCTCACCAGCTACAGAAACGAGGTAGGAGGCGTCCATCATGTCGATCCCCAGTGTTTTGGCTCTGGCTACCAGGTGGAGGGTAGGGATCAAATATGCCAGCTGACTGAAGAGAAGAGACCAGGTAAATATGCAGAAGAAAGGGTTCTTTAAAAGAGAAATATCACAGAGGTTTTGTTTACAGCTCCACAAAGTAGCCTTTTGCTGGAAACGTGCATCTTTAGGTATTAGGAACAGTCTGTTCCTGTTTGGCCCATTGTTGACCTCTTCGTTTTGGTGTTGCGAGTCTATGAAACCTGTACCGGCTTGTCCAACCTTCTGCATAGTCTTGTCCCTGATGGGGAACTCTGGCGTCTCGCTGCAGTGTGACATGTCCGTCCCGCGCCCTGCCTCTGGACCACTTGCAGGCAGGCTGCTACCTTTATCTTTCCCATCAGAGTTGCTCCCGCTTGTGCTGTGGATGGG